GCCTTCCTAGGAACAGATGCTGGTTCCAATGAAGAACACAGGCTGCTTCTCCTGAAAAGGAACTCTTCAGAGTGAAACAAAGGTTTCAAATCCAAGGAAGTATAATTAAGTACAATTGTTCCAAGTGTTTAGAATTCCCAACTTATACTGAACCTAAAAGTATGGTTCATATTTGATTAACTGCCTTGAAAAAGAAGACATTGTGGTTCCTCCTTGTTCTATCCTTTAAAAAAGAAAAGGAAGTACAAAAACAGAAGTGAAAAAAAAACAAAACTGAGATCCAATAGTATGTCCAGAAATATCTCAGCCACAGGACATTTCCTGGTAAGTGAAACTACAGGTTAGACAGCAAGGTCAAGGAGAAGACCAAATACCATTTTGTGCATAATTCCTGCTCATTAAAAGAAGAGACTCAAATGCTTCTAACTGTATAGCCTATCTGGATGCATAATGCTTTCAAGTGAGTTCCTTAGGCACATTCTGGAAAGATTCTAAATTTATATTATCCAGCATAATGTGGAGCAGGTAGAGTTTCTTTTGAAAAGAAACCCAGACCAATGTAATTGTAGCAGGCGAAGCTGATGCTAGGAAATCTACAGCATGCTTTAACCCAGACCACAGTTCAATTAAATAAATCCCATCCTCCAACAGAAGTCAAGAAAGCAAACTGTGAGAGAATAATGCAAACACAGTTGTCAGAAAGTGCTCTGAGCTGTGGACAGCTTGAAAGAAAGGTTAGCCCTTGAAGAGGTTAATTCCCAGTGATTCCAAGCAAATTTGGGGTGGGTAAAAAGAATGTTTGTGCCAGTATTGGATATTGGAGATTTACATTTTATTTGTATCCAAGTAAAATAATCTCCTCCAGGCTGCAAGGACAGAGACAGATTTTTCCCCACTCCTTTGTCTCTGTCTCTCTTTCTTGATCTAGAGAGACTAACTCACTTCAAAGAAAAGGAAAATTGTGTTCCCAAGTCCTCTTGCAGCTTTGAATGTCCTTCAGTGGTCTGCAGAACAAGTGAGGACAGTGTCAGGAAGGACAAATCCACTTCAATGGAATTAAAATACAATCTGATCATATGTAAAGATCTGTCTCTCTTCTGCCTCTGTCTTTCCCTTTGGTTTGCCTACCTTCATTCCTCCTTGCCAAAAAACAACTATGGTCCCCAGGAAAGTTAGCACAGCCCATTCTGAACACTTCCTCCAGTAATGAACACAACAAAATCCTGCCTTTATTCATTTAAGGCACGGAGTTGTTGCTCTACAGAAAGCTTGTGTTTTTAGCAAACCCTTATTGATATGCATCCATGCAGGAAAAGACAGTGCAGATGGTAGAGCCAAAGCAGCTGGTCTGCAGAGATCCACTTTCTCAGTAGTGCCTGTATGTATATGGTACAACTCTTTGCTGTGCATTTTCAAATAGCATGTACCCAGAAACACAGATGTCCTGCTATGTGCATTGTTTTGCTGGAAGGATTCATAAAAGACTGTAATAATGCTCACCTTTAAGGACAGAGAGAAAGGCAGGAAGAAACTTTAACTTTTCATTTAATATTTCTGTACTACTTGAATTTTCTAACAATGTACTTTTATTTTTATTTTATATAGCAGTATTACCTTTGTTGTTGTCACTGTTATGTGCCGTCGAGTCATCTCCAACCCATAGGAACCTTATTTACAACAGAATGAAACATTGTCTGGTCCTGTGCCAGCCTCATGATCCCTACTATTACTTTCATTTTTTCAAAAAAGCCAAATGGGTTATCTGAGTGGTTTAGATTACAAGTATCATTAAATCTTGGTACTTTTCTACATTGGGAGAAAAAAAAAACTTACTTTAAAATTTTTAAAAATAAAAGCCAAGCCAGTACAGAGATAAGCTGTGTATGGGGCAATGATTCTTTCTCAAATTAGTCTTCCCTCCACCATACTCTGTAATTTTATCCCAAATCCTCAGGATCTTCAGAGATTTACATATGCAAAAAACAAAAATGGGGTATTTTTGTTACTTTACAATGGGATTTTTTTTAATATTTAAATTGTGGATCCCCCATCAACCATAGAAACAACTGCCCTGCCAGTTGTTAATCAGCTAAGCAAAATCATCTCCAGAGATATGGAGTAATGCTGGTCCAGTCTTCTCATGGGCCAGCCCACAGTGTGCAATATCCATGGGAGGGTGAATTTCATAGCCAAGGACCCAAAGTTCAGAGATCATAGGCCTCAGTCACACTACATTGTAGGAGAGATTTAACCAAGCTACCGGGGTCCTTCCATGGACCACAGAAACAAGAAATGAGGAGTGTCCCTGCTTTCCCCCACCATAAAATGCCAGTGCCTGCTTGCTATGACTACAAATGCAAATGCTGCCCATCCTCTGTGAATGCTCACCCCAGAGCCATGTCACCCCAGCGCCATGTTGCTCTGAAAGTCTTACCTCCAGCCACGGGATGGGGTGAATGTAGAGGAAAGGTTTGGAAAGTGACTTACTTTGAAATGGTATTTAAAACATAGGCCCCTCCCACCCTTCCCAGGTTGCATTCCCAGCTTTTCTGCCCTTTAACCCTGGTCAGCCCAAACTCAGGACAACTGGGAAGTTGCAGGAAAATGAGAATAGAGACAACTCAGAGATTGTACAGATCCTCAGATTTCTTCAGAAAGTGATGAGGGCCTTCCTCCTGCCCAAGTAGGCTAGTCTTTCTCAAGCAGCAAGGATGGAATCACGAAAATCCTGTTGATGAAAAGATGATTGAGCATATAAAGCTCATCTAAGCACAAGAAGATGGTTGAAAAAACTAAGGGCTTGGGGTTTTTCTTCTTTCTCATACTTTATTCTATCATCATTGTGGCCTTCTCCACAGGATGTGCTGGCTAGTAAGTTTTGGAAGCCCAGGCTGTCAAAGTTGGGACCCCAATCATAGCCTCTGGGTAATGGAACTCAGATTCCATGTCTAAGCACTGTTAATTCATAACTTGCTATATGGCCCAGAGAAACGAAATAAAGTCTCTAGTCTCCAATATTCCTGCCTAGAATATTAGACTTTTTAAAAAGGTAAAGATTTTGACAACCTTGGGGAGGAAACTTCTATATTGAAAAACAAGCAAACATTCTTTTAAGAGTATCTTCAGCAGCTACTATTGCAAAGAGATGGGATGAAACTAATTTCCCCACTTTTCCCCTTTATAGCTGGAGCAGATGCACACTAAGCAGGAAGTTACTCTTCATCACTATTAACAGCAAAAACTTCATTTCAAAAATCCTATCCATCCATTTCTAAATTGATGATTAAAGAAAGCCAAACACAAGAGGTATGAACAAAACAATGAGCTAGAGAATGCTTAGATTTGGTAGCCTGACATAATTTTCATTAGTTTTAGAATGTTAAGAATGTTCTGGGAAAAGTCCCCAATTACTGCTCACTAACTTTTGTCTAATTTATTCCTGTAAGATTTAATTTGAGGATGTTTCTTCATATTGCTTCTTTACCTCATATCCCAAGATCGAGCCCTGAGATGGTGGGAGGTGGCAGGAGGAAGGCTATCCCTTACCTTGGCTGTCTTGCCAGGCACCAGGGCTGGCCCATGGTAAATGCCCCATCCATTTCACTTTATTTTCTACCTCTTGCCCAACATGGCCCACAAATGCTAAGGAGTAAACCAATCAATGATTTCCTTTTACCAATTCACTTATTGAAGACTCAGAAGAGAGGAGAGGCATAACTACACAATATTCTAAACAGACACAGACAGACACTGCTCACCTTCACCAAACGTACTTAAGACGCTGTCCTTTATTACACTTTTAACAGGTGATAGCAAACTCTAACCAGAGACATTGTTATGACTAGAAAATTGCCATTTTCTGCCCAGGGTCCCACCACCCTTGTGCCTGAACTTGAAAGCAATTAACAGTGCTTGTGTATTGCCCTAGAAGACACTTTCTGGGTTTTTTTCCTCCTTGCTCCCACACTCACACACCTTGCAAACCAGAAGTCCAAATGTACCTTTCTACCCCAAAGCAGTCTGTAATTTAAATTAAGATATGTGTTGACCCCTAAACACCAAAAGACAGTGAGGATGCTTTTGCTGTTTGTCAGAATCTCAGTATTGGAGAGGGGGTACAGTTCCAGGCCATGCAGTTTTGTAACTACCTAGAACACCACCTGCCCCAGGGGCTCCTGCCCCTGCCTCAGTCTTCTTTTAGATGATATCATCTCTGAGGAAGCAAAGAGAAACACAGCCACTGGGTAATGAGAAAATATAGATTTCCAGACAATATACTGGGTAAGGGAAGGTCTCACAGGTGACAGTTTTTGTTCATTATAAAATTGCAAAATAAAAGGCTGTGGCTGATCCGGTACACTATCTCAGCTTGAGGGCCGGTGTTCTGAGGGTAGGAGGAAGGGGGACAGTCTGCAATGTGAGAGCTGCTGAGTGCTAGCTTCAGGAGAAGCAACTGAAGGGCAGTCTGGGGCGCTCTCAGACCGGGGTGGGGTGGGGGGGCGGGGTTAAAGGGCAATAGTCTTTTATTGTAAAAGGCACAAAAGGGAAAATAACAGGGGAGTTGTCCCGATGGACCAGAGAAAAGAGATGCAAAAAATAAAGCAACAGAAGAGGGGGGAGGTGATGTAGAAAGTGGGAGGAAACAAAGGACAAAGGAAGAAGGAAATGGACGTAGAGTAAAAGGGAGGGAAGAGAAGGAAGACGGCAAAGACGGACAGATCAGGAAAGACAGAGACAGATAGAGGCTGACAGGGCGAGGGAGGCCACGTTGGAGCAAAGATCCTGACCAGGCTGCAATAGTCTAAATCCAAAGTTCTGAAAAAGACTTAGAAACGGGTCCGGCAAAGAAAGTGTGGCCGGCCACGTCAGCGTGCAGAGCTGGGGCAGGCGGAGCAGTGCCCGCGGGCTGGCTCCAGAGTAGAGTCCTAGTCTCCTCCGGTCCTGCTTGCGCGCCCGGTCCGCCTCCTCCGGGCTCGGCTGGGGCTCGGGGAGAGCTGTGCCTAAGAAGTGGAGGCCGGGATAGGCAGTCCGTGTAAACTCCCGAGGGCGTCCGGGGCCTTGGCGCCGGGGCTAGGTGGTTTCCGGTCGGCAGCTGCAGAGGAAGCAGAGGGGCGTGGGGTCAGAGACAGGGTGCCTGCAAACCCTGCAGCGACGAAAGCATCTGCGGGCGAAGGCTGGTCGGCGAGCGCGCTGGATAGCGGGAGTTCGGGGAAAGGAGCGGGGCCCAGCTTGCCCGTCGCACCCGCCCTTCCACTCTCCCTAAGGCTGGTCTTGCACTGCAGGGTTTCGGACGAGACCGTTTTTGCCAGAGCTCCCAGACCACCCACCTTGCTTAAATCCAGAGCTCCAGAGCTCTGGTAGCGTAGTGCCTAAGGCACTTGACTGCTAACCAGAAGGCTGGAATTTCAAACCCACCAGCCACTCCTCGGAAGGAAGGTGGGGTAATCTACTTCCGTAGTGATGCGGCCTCAGAAACCCAATGGTTCGCTATGAGTACGGTCCGACTCCACGGCACGTAACAACAACAACAATAGGCCCCGGAGCAAAAAGGAAAGTGATGCGCACAGAGGGGCACTGCCGACCTTTGCGTCCTGGGAGAGGTCTTCAGATCCGACTTCAGGAGAAAGCAACCAGGAACCGGGAGTGCAACCCGCGCGGCCCTCCTGTCAACACCTCTAACCCTAGTCTTGCGCGAGGGCCGACGCCACTCAAAGAGGCTCCCGGCAGGTGAACACCAGAAGCTCAGTGGGCAGGGGCGAACGTGTGGAGAACTGGTCACCAAAGCCTCCCTTTGCTGAGGGCCTGAGGAGGCCAAGACACCTCTGACTTAAGATACGAATGCACTTGTCTGTACTGAACCCATGCTGTCCACGCTCCAGTGCTCTCACCGCTAGCGGCCTGAGCGCGTCCTGGGGCCGCCACTCCTGCAGGCCAGATCTGGCGGCCTTCTGCGCGATGCTGTTTTATTTAGGGTTTGGGAAGGCCCGGAGTTTTGCTACTGGAAGCCTGAAAGTGACTGCACCGTTACGCAACCCGTTTTCCCTGGTGGCTCAGCTTCTTCTGCAGAAGGAACACAGACTTGTTTATACCTAAATGAGCTTATTTTCAGTTTTCTTTTTTTCCCTGAGTTCTTTAAAATGTAAGCTCATAGCACCTGGATTTGGAAAGAGGGAGAATTTTATTTATTTTTTTCCTGCAGCTCCCTGCACCCCAGCCCCAAACCCTGGCACAACTTGGTAGGGCTGCCCAGAGCCAACACCTGTGTGTGAAGAGTTAGTCTGTCTCCCCCACTTCTCTCTCTCTTTTTCTTTCTGTCTCTCTCTGTCTCTCTCTGTCTCTCTCTCTCTCTCTCTCTCTCTCTCTCACACACACACACACACACACACAGATGTTGGTTCGAAAAGGGTGGGAAGGCGGAAGAGGTCTAAAGACAGAGAGGCCCCTCTGCTTCTGTGCTACAAGCTCCCTGTCCTAAACACAGTTATGACAGCCCAACAAGAGAGCTTTTCAGATCTTCTCTTTCCATCCTATACACACATCCCAAGGTGAGGACCTGTTTAGAAAACATCTGAGGAGCAGGAGGCTTCTGGGCACTTGAGGTTGCCTTAGAGACTAGGGAGAAAATGAGCCAGTTCAAAATAAACACCAGGGAGCCCCGAAGGGACTCCACCTCACCCTGCAGGGGTGATTCCAGCTGAGTGTTTTAGCTACTGACTGCCAGTGCCTCCCCTTCAGGCCTCTTCTCCCCTTCTTTCTCATCCACGAGACCCCAGGCAAAGAGGGTGCTTTTGTCACATGGGGCTTTGGAGTGCTGAGCCCAGCAGTAGGGGCTCTGCAAGCTCCTTTAAAATCAGGGGGTAGAAATTGGGACAGGCGTTTTAAAATATTAGGACATAGTATGACAGTGTTTGCTGGGCTGGGCACATTTGGATGCTCCCAGGGTTTGGGGAGAAGGAGCTGGGCTGGTAGGTCAAATGAGGCTGGAACTGGTGGCGGCAGGGTGTGCTCAGCAAGGTTAGCTTTTAGGATTCTCCAAGGATTAACTTGCCAGCAGAGTAACAGGAAGGAAGGTTTTCTTTAACAATACATTGCCTTTGTGCTATGCAATATCTTACAGATTTGATTTCCAAATCTTTAGTCTTTCCAAAACCTAGCTGAGAAGGATTTTAGAACCTCTGGGTTTTGGTGGTTTCTGAAAACACACCAAACACCAATTGCCTTGAAAGGACATATGGTAGGTCACCTGTCTGGGGGAAAATATATATAGACAGAGAAAGACAGACAGATAGATGATAGATAGATAGATAGATAGATAGATATGCCTTGGCTATGAAAAGACATTTTGTAGGGGGTTAGGTTCCTTGAATGCAAGCCCCTCAATATGTAGATCAAGTGGAAATTTCTTATTTTTCTCTCAGTTTCTAAGTTTCCCTTCCCAGGATAGGAAATGTAAATCATACTTTCCTGCCTACATAATAGGTAACTCAGATTGACTACCATTCACCAAGATAAAATTAATACACTGTAAATCATAGTTTGATATTTGATTAGACTTCCCTTGGGGTCACTGCTGAGATCTCCATTTATAGGACAATAGATTAGAGGAAGAGATCACACTGATATTGTGTGCCCTCTAGTAGATTCCAACTCACAGTGGCCCTATAGGACAGAGTAGAACTGCTACTAGACTGTCGTCTTTATGGCAGAAGACCACAGGTCTTTTCTCCCTAGAAGCCACTGATGCATTAGAACCGGAGACCTTTCAATGAGCCCTTAACCATTACCCCACCAGTTCTCCCTCACTTGTTCCTGCTTGCTATCTATCCTAGATGACCTAAAGTATTTGCTTTTTACTAAGCAAAGTGCTATGCTTCTTTGTAAATCCTATTCCTACCATTCTTATAAATTGAACAATTAATGATAGTAAATTGTCTTATGGGATAGGTATCTTTGAAGGTATTAATTTCTTAAGCAATTAGGAGAAAGTAAAAGGCAGAGATTCAAATCATTTTGTTTTGTCTCTTCAAAGACTTCTGTGGTAGTAGTAGTACATTTTTGAAGTGTCGTTTTCTACCAATGAGAAGAGGATTAAGAAATCTATAATCCAAGTTAAGTATGTAATTCTCAGCCCATGAGAAAGGTTAGATAATGTGTGTTTATTTTTATATTCCCAATCAAAGAGATAAACTTGTATGCCAGTTTGAGAAATCTTTTTTTAATGATGTGCTTTATTTATTCAATGCTCCTTTTACTTGCATCTTTAAATAACCATGAGAATCAGGAAATTGTTCATGTAATAACTAGAGTTGCTAATTGTTGCAGCAGATTTTGAAAATGGGGTGCGATGTTTCATAATATAAATGGTAAAAATTATGAGGATGCTAGAACCATTACATGGCTCTGCATTTCTGAAGAGAAAGTATCTTCTAAACAAGATTGCCTACTAACCAGTCTAAATGTTGAAAACTCTCCCCTGAATTAACCAGAATTAATTGAGAATTCAGAACTGTATGTTCTAGCTTTGGAGTGTTAACCTACACCTCATAGTTTGTTTCTAATTAGACTGGAATGCCCCAGGAAATGAACTCTGAAGACAGGCAGTGCTTGTGATGATTCTTCCTTTTCCTTTGGATCAACCCAGGGAAAATTGTTGAAATTTGTGGATATACTTTCCTAATTCAAGTAAACTTGCTTAGTTAAGTGATGTGTTGCTGCTGTAATGAAGAAAATTTAATTTCAATTCCTAATTCAGTTGATAGCCTAGGTTGCTGAGAAGACTGGAGACCAAGGACAAGAGAGCTAAGCACTCACCCTGAGACCCCCTATCTGTTCTTACATTTAAAAAGTAAAGGAGATCTAGTTCTCAATTTTTTAAATGTCCTTTACTTAGATTTTCCTATAACTGAGCAGGTAATATTCTATTATTTGAATTAAATTTAAAACTAAATCATAAAGTTTTAATTCACATTTTTTTATAAATTTTCTTTACTTGAATTTGCCACCAACTAAGCAAGTAATCATTATTCTAATATCTTAGGGTATTTAATCTTTAGGGACAGTAGAAAAAAAAATACTTTTGCTCCTCCAGTTGACTGTTATCAGTGGCATCTTAATCTTCTCCTTTTCCCTCTCTCTCTTTCTCTTTTAAGTCCCAGCTGACCACTCAACTACTTGCAAGTAGCACTTTTTGCTTGGGCTTCAGAAAGGAGGATGTCCCTTCCAGTCTCTGCCTGCCCTATTGCCACCTGACCTCCCACCCGCCCTGCCTGGTGTAAGGCAGATCAGCTAGTAAGTGTCCTTTTGAAATTTGGGAACATCTTTGCCCCATACTGCCCCCAGGTTTGTGCCTTGCCCCCCTCTCTTCAGAGGTTGGGATGCATTCCTTTCCTAAGACCCTTGCAAACTGCTCATCAGAATCTAAAATCAGGCGTGTTGGAGATTATGAAATCCACCCATCTCCTTTCCCAATGCAGAAATAAGGATATAAGACAAAGTGAGCTTTTCTTAAATTAAAGGAAAAACCAGGAATGAAAGGTCTATTTAAGAAGATAACCCTCATACTGCTGGCTATCCATGAAATACCTCAAATCTGTTAGTTGGCTTATCAGGGAACAGATTTATGGAGGAGGAGATTTAAGAGAAGGAGAAGAAGAGACAAAGAGGTAGAACTCCTGACTACATTCCCCATGGATAGAAGGAAGGTACTAGAAGCACACAGAGTTCAGAAGAGCCTGGACTGAGGGACACAAAACTGAAATGTTCTGTTTTCCCACAGTAAGCATTATTATCGTTATTAATGAATCCAAGGAGAGACCAATACCTGGTAAAAAGAAAAAAAAAAAAAAAAAAGAACCTGGAAGAAATAGACGAGAAATGCCCTGGAAGGGTCCAGGTGTGGAAATCCGTGCAGAGTCAGGCCCCATGTCAGGGGTAACACGGAAGGCAAAGCTCCACAGACCACAGAGAGATGGAGCTGGAGGACTCCTTCTAGATTCCTTTATGGATGTAGAGAGACACTGAGGCCCAGAAAGGAGCAATAACTTGACCAAGGGTATAAAAGCCAGGTGAAAACCCAGGATGTCTGTTTGCCAGCTTGACTCTCTTTCTCCTCTCTCCATACACCTAGAGGGGCCCTCTTCTGAGATGTGGGACACACCTGGGACAAGCTTAATGTTTAAAAGGGAGAATGTTAGGTATTATTCCAGTAGGGGTATTTTAGGTTCTCTCTCTTGCCTCCCCCTCCCTTTCTCCCATTATCAGTTTTGTCTCAGGATCCTACCCACTTCCCTGCAAGCCTCCTAGTCCTCAGGGCTTCCACCACCACTACCCCCATCTTCCCCACCTAAGCTCCCCTCACCTTCTCTGCTGGGATGCTTGAATGTCACTGCCGCAGAGGCAGAGAGTTCCCCGCCGTGCACAGCCACACTGGCCCCAGGGGGTGCCAGCGGAGGACCCTGTGCTGGGGGCCAAGGTGGTCCTGGGGCAAGGTAGCCGCCACCCGATGCGCTGTACACACCATGCTGGTTGGATGCCGGGTAGGCACAGGCTGGAAGGAAGGTGCCCACTGCTGAAAGACTCGAGGCGGACTGGGGGTAGAGAAGACAAATAGTCAGCCTAGGGCATCCCATGGATCTCCCTCCCTGATGTCTCCAGCTCACACAACTCCCAGGGTGTTATTTCCCAAAATTGTCCCATCAGTTATCTCCATGTGAGGACTGACCTCTAATGTTAACAGTAAGGCCTTAAAAAAAAAAAAATTCAGCCACTCCTCGGAAGGAAGATTGGCCCGTCTACTTTCATAGTTTCCACCTCAGAAACCCAAGGAGGGGTCGCTATGAAGGCAGTGAGTTGTTTGTTTATTTTTTTCTTCCCAGTTATAATGTATAACCTATATATAACAATTTAAAACATAATAATACAACTAGAGGTGAAAATGCGGAATTCATTCTGCAGTTAGAGAAAATGGCTTTGCCGACCTCTCTTTTGGAATTCCAGCTATTTTAGTAAAATCTCTTGGCCAAAGGCAAATCAATACCCCCTCCAAACCCGCCAAACTAGTGAGCAATGGAAATACACAAAGAGCACACACTTTGACACTTATCCTCTTCTCAAGTTCTCTTTCTCTGTCTCCCTGTCGTCTACTATCCATTCTGCTCTCTTAGTTAAGGATACATCTCCTGGCACTCAGTTACCTGAGGATATTTAATATCCGCCTCTAGGACAGGTTTCTCAAGCCCATTCACTGCTTGGGCAGTTGGGAAGGCAGTACGATTCACACTGGCCCAGTCTTCCATCTTGGGGGAGTAGGTGGTGCCTTCACTCCCAGCCAGGGCCCCTGCTGGGGGCACGGGACAGATTAGAAGGAGCTTTGGATCCTGCGCAGGGCACGCGCACTGCCCACCCGCCAAGTTTACACTGCCATATACAAGATGTTTACAAAATCACCCAGCTCATAAAGGAAGGCCCGACCTAGGCGCTTCCCCAAACACCTAAGGAGTAATCGCCTTCCGCGTTTTGCTTTCATTCTTAGGGGGCAGAGGAGCGGTAGACTGCAGGGCCTTCTATTTCCTCCTCCCAGCTCTTGATCTGCTTCCCGAGAAATGGAAGTTCTGGCAGAGAAGCGGCCTATCCCGTAAAAGGTAGGCACCTGAGGCCAAAGAGGCCACTCAGCTCTCCATAGGCGGTTCTGGGAGAAGGGTACCGAGTCCCAGTTAGAAATTCACAGCAACCTCTGAGAATTATAGGCAGTCAGTCCCCAGGTAACCAACAAGATCTTTTCCTAAGTATACCTTTAAGTGGAATTTGTGCGAGAGGTTCTTATTTATCCTTACTTTCAGGTTGCTAACCAAAAGGTTGCTGATTCCAACCCATTATACCTAAGGCACCTGACTGCTAACCAGAAGGCTAGTGGTTTAAACCCACCAGCTACTCCTTGGAAGGAAGGTTGGGCAATCTGCTTCCATAGTGCTACTGCCTCTGAAACCCAAGGAGGGGTCGCTATGAGTCAGGTCTGACTTGAGGGCACATAACAACAACAACAGTGACTTTGTGAGAAAGATGAAGCATGCTGCTTCCAAAAATATTTACAGCCTAGGAAACCCTATGCGGCAGTTCTACTCTGTCCTATAAGGTCACCTTGAGTCGAAATTGACCAAGTACAGTGGTTTTTTTGTTTTTTGTTTTTTAAGTACAAGAACAGGTTCCAAGCCTTTTTAATGATTTAAAAGCTGCAGTGCAAAAAATGAAAGTGATTGTGATGAAGAATTTATTGTGTGTAGGAGTGGGCTCAATAGTTTCAAAGAGAGGGCAAATTTACCTAACATTTAAGGATAAGTGCCAGTTGTTTGTAAGTAGGATGCTTTTAACTTGAGGACTTACTGTACATAGGTTTCTCAAAATCTCAGCAAGTCTCTGGAGGTCTATGAAACTTATGCTGCCTCTGAACACATCCAAGTCTTCCCCAAAGAGGCATCAACCTTGCAACTACTGCGCTACTGGGCAGACCTGCTTCCCGTGCACGTGTGTTCAGACTAGGGGAAAAACTTGTATCTGAGCACAGCTCAGCAGGGTCACCTCCCAGCCAGTTGTCCATCAGCTGCTCCACAGCTTGGTCTCAGAGGAAGGCCCAAGCTGGGTTCTAGCCACGAAGAGAAATAAAGCATGTGTGAGGCCTGGGAAAGGCCCCTGTTACTGCTGGAGCTAAGCATTGGCAATCTCCTACTGGCTGCCCTTTCTGTCTCCTAGTGTACCTAGAATTCTGCCCCTTATCATCTTAGGAGAGAGCAATCCATGACTGCTCATGGACGAAAGAAACCAGTTTATGGTCTACTCAAGTATTTACCTAAGCCAGACAGGAGGGTGCCTCAAACTTTCCCTTCAACCCCCTCCACCACCACCAAGATAGATGGCCAATAGTGTGCTGAACTCGAATTGCAGGCGAAGGGTAAATCTTTGTGAGCTTCCACCTCCAGTATCACTGATGCCTGTGGAGCTATCATTCAGGAGACCCTCTTAGGACTCTCAAGGCACCAGGCCTGCTGAAGATCCAGGCCACTAGGTAAGACTGAACACATGGCCCATTTCCCTGTTATTCAAAAGACTCACTGCACCTGAGATACACATGTACGGACCCGTTTGGGGTACAATGAGGAACCCAGAAAGCTAAAGTAAGGGTTGCAGAATTGCCAGAGCAGTTTGTTTGGCCTAGAACTAGCGATAGAGGTTTGCATACTTTTGGCAAGAATGAAAAAGCGCAATTTCAGGTCTCTGAATTTGTGGTTGGCGATTGCTCTTCCACTTGAGAAATATTTTCCATATTTGTCATAAAATGTTCAAGATGTCCGATGGCTCCCACAGAAGGCCCACGCCCCCAAGAACCTCCCTGGCTAGCCTGGAGCCCTCCCATGAGCTAGAACCAGTCGGGGAAGGAGGAAGAGTGTGACCCCCACCCGCACGCCCGCCCAGCAAATTCTGCCCCTTCCTGGAAGGCTACTAGGGGCGGCCGCCACTGACCTGTTTGCTCCATAAACGTCCGGATGCCCAGGATGTTGCTGACCGAGTGCGCCGAGGGCCATGAGCGGGGGATGCTGACGTGGCCTGCCGTGCCCGGGACTCCGGGGTGGCTGCCCATTTTGGCACCAGTGGGTGACACGGGGCTGGGGTAGGGGTACTGGTAGATGTGGTTGTATGGCAGCGCGGGCTGCGGTGGCGGCTGCTTGCTCGCCTCGTAAGGCCCGGGCTGCGCCAGGTTGCCGATCTTGTTTCGCAGGATACGGCTTATGGAACTCACCGAGGGCACGTTGTATTTGTCGCAGACGCCGTCGGCCAGCAGCCTGTCGCGGATCTCCCAGGCAAAGATGCCAGGGTCGCCCTGCTTGTAGTCCCGGATGTGCTTGACCACATTGGGGGTAGTGACGCGGGGTTTGCTGCCCCCGATGGCTCCTGGCAGGATGGATCCGGTTTCATTGTAGCGCGCCAGGATCTTGCTCACGCAGCCGTGGGATACGCGCAGCTGCCGGCTGATGTCACAGGGTCGAATGCCCAGCTGCGCCAGTTCCACTATGCGCAAGCGGATGGCGTTGGGCAGGGGGCGGCCGTTGACAAACACACCGCCCAGCTGGTTCACCTCGCCGTATGTCTGCTCTGCGGACACGCCGGGCGTAAGAGGGCAGGGGAAAAAACACCGGCGGGTTAGCCAAGAGTGACCGAGTGGGACTAGGGACTGCACCCAAACGCGCGTCCAAAGGCGACAAGGAGACCCGCGAATCCCCAGACGGCTCGGAGTCCGAGGACAAACAGCCTGGATTGGGCTCCAGGAATCGGAGCAGCCATAGAGACTGAGAGGGGCACCCTGTGCTCCAGCTTTCCTAGCCCTTTTGACGTCGCAGCTTGGGGCGCCCTTTCCCGAATCGCGCCAAGCCACCCGGCGAAGGTAGAGGACATGAGGAGAATGTGGCTTGCCTGGCCCCAAGACGGAGTCGCTCGGGGAAAGCAGGCGAAAGGCAAAGGAGGCGCCGGGACAAAACCCACTTCGTTAGTCCACCCGCGCCCTGCTCGCTGCCCACCCCTTACCCATAGCGCGCGGGCCAGCAGGCTGCCTGGCGCCGGAACGGCGGGGGCTGGGCCCAAAGCAGTCCGGGAGAGCTCGGGCGCCGCCGTCGCCTGAGAGGCATAGAGGGAGGGTGCGCGCGAGCCGAGAGCCGCGGCGGCCTGGGCGCGGGCTGGAGATGCGCCGGGCGCCGCTGCGGAGCGCGCCGCGGTTCGCCCTCCAGCCAGCCACCGCCGCCGCCGCCCGCTCCCAGGACACTCTCCACGCCCGCGACCCCAGGCCCAGAGTGAACTTCATCCGATTGGAAGAAATTCGTCTGACCGGGAAGCTGCAGCGTGCGAGGATCAATTTGACGCGCTCTCCACGTCAATCTCAGCAGTCACGCCGGAGACGCTCTAGTTGGCAGCTCATTGGTTCCCGTCACCGAGACGAAGCGTCCCCCCACCCCATCCTCCCCGAAACTCTACCCCCTCCCGCCCTCCCACTTAGGCTTTCCTCCACCACCCTCCTCCGGAACCTCCCCCCTGTCTACACAAACATCCTTCCCAGCCCCAGCTGGGCCTGGAACCTTCCTTTCTCTCCTGGCCCCTAGCAATCTCCCCCTCCCCACCCCCAGGCTTTGGGAGTGATGGAGAAGTCATTTCAAGTTGGTAGGTGTTATATTAGTGCTAGTATGGTAATAGTACTAGCTTTGGTTTTATTTTCATTACTACTTCCATCACCATTACTACTACTAAAATATTAGTGAATGAAAGTTGCACACTGCAAAGTGGTTGTTGTGTAGCTGCCTTTACCCATTCCCCAGGCTTGATGTGGGCTTTGTGATGAGCTCCAAGGGTAGTGCAGGGCGCCTGGTGAGCAGGACACAAGATGGGTTTCAGTGAAACTGACTCTCCTTCATGTCTGATTACTGGCGACTCCCCAACCCTCTTCTCGAGATATCTTTACAATGTTTAATAGTCACCAATTCCTTTAGGGTAGTGAGAGTTATCTCCTTGACTCGAGAGGGACACATTCCAGGTTCTTAATCTTTGTGTCCTGGCCACCTACCTAAATTCATTTCGTTTCAAGAGGTGGCAGAAGGCATAGGCTGGAGAAGAATCCTGATCAGCGCTTCTTGGCTCTCACTCTAGGCCTGAAAAGCAGTCCCTTTCCCCTGAAGTCCTGGAAACCTGTACTCCTTCACACTGGAGTAGCCCGAGCTTACATTTCCTGGAGCACCAGCATCCAGGGTATGTTCATCAAACCACAAATTGGCTCTTACCCTTTCCTTTAAGCAATGATTTGCGCAGCCTGAAGTCTTTGACCCTGGTATTAACCGCCTACTTTTATTGTTGTTATTGTTGTTGTTCACTATTTCTATTCTGCATCAAGACCCAGTTCTGGAGTCTTCTGGATTGTGGCATTCTTGGAGTCAGCCACGCGACGGAGACCAGGGAAGGGCAGGTGGAAGGAGAAACACCCAGTTTGCACCTTAACTAGCATGAGCGGCTGGTGTTTGGGAGTTCCAAGCTAGAAGGGGAAAGGAGGATCTAGGCGGGAGCCTAGTAACAGTGGGTGCCCGAGACTCACAGAAGCTCCCAGCTTTCCTCAGGAAGCGGGAAGAGCACCTCCCTCAGAGATCCCAGAGTCCAGAGCAGGCAGAAAGTGGTAATCTGCGCGGGAACAATGATGCGGGATAAGGCTGGAGGCGCAGATGGATCTGATCAGCGCAGCTCGGGAGCGGCAGCGGCCGAGGCCGTGACCCCTTTCTCTCCGCTGTGGGGCCAGAGAGCGTCGCTGGCTCCTAATCAACCTGTACTAGAGTGTCAATTAAAAGAGCCTGAGCCATAAATCTCACGCTTTCTGCAGGAAGAGATATTGGCCTTCCAGGACCGGGGTAGGTGTCACAAGGAGGACTTCTCTCTTGGCAAAAAGAAAGCAGATTCCAAAAAGATGAGGACTTTCCCTTTTGGCAGCACGGAGAACACAGTGCAGCCTCCGGCTCCAGGAGTCCCGTGAGGCCTCGGGGACACGGATGATGTTTGAGGGTAGGGGCACTGGGGTCAGGACACGAAGAATCCTAAGGAAACTGGAGGGATCAGATCTGTCCACTGCACACCTCCCACCCAAGCCCCGCGAACAGGGTCGGTGCTAGGACAGAGGGAAGACAGGGTTGGAATAAGGTGGGCAAGTCGAAGCCAGGAGCCCCGCAATGGCGCGGAGCAGAGGACTAGGTGGCCATCGGGTGTAGGGCTCTCTGAGGCTGCGGAGAGTGGTAAGTGTTTGGAACCTGCTCGCTTCTCACGCAGGCTTTCTTTGCCGGTATCAACTCGGGCGCTCGAGCCCAAACGGTACCAGAGAAACGCAGCAGCCGCCCCTCAGTCCAGCGCAAACTCATGCTTCCGAAAAACACTTAAAGCCATTTCTTTCTCTTGTAGGCAAGAACTCTAAAGGCACTCTTATCCATACTAAACCAAACCCACTGCCATAGGGTTGACTCCAATTTATAGCAACCCATTTTGATTACCTCTGGGGCAGACGGTTGAGGAGTGCGCCCGAAGTTCTTTGGGGTGGCAGATGCCACTGGCCCTAGCCTCAAGCCCCAGGCGCCAGCAGAGCTAGGTCGGCACCACATAGGGCTGGCTGCAGCCCTCTCCGCCAGCGAGCTTAGTTTGTCGCCCCCTGTCGGCCTCCGACCCAGCTCTGTGGATTCTTAAAACAGCTGGTTGGGCTGGGGACGAGGTGCTGGTGTCCTAAGATGGGACTGAAGAAGGAACAAGTCCCAGGGATGCGGCTTGGCCCCTACAAGACCTGGGGGCGGCGACAGGTCTGCGCTGAACGCGCAGAAGTTTGAGTTCACAGGTTCTACGTTTTTGCTTGATGGGTTTGGCATTGAAGATTTGAGAACCCTAGGCGCAGTTTGCTGCAAAGTGAAGAGCGGCTCCCAGCGGCGCAGGAGATTGCGCTATGGGGCCCAGGACAGGACACCTCCGGGGGAATTGAGGTCTTCTGGAGCGCAGGAAGGATTCGAGTTCCCCACTCCACTACCAAGTCGTCTCCGGGAACTGGCCCAGGTTTCCAGAAAAAGAGAGAGAAGGGAGGTGAGCTCGCTTCCAAATGCGTGAGACAAAGAGGAGGCAGGAAGAAGTGCCTGCCCTCCTGGGGTTTGAGGTCTGGCGAGTGGGACAGCTGCTAGTGAATCTTTTCTGGCCGTTCACGTCCGAGCCTTGATCGCAGCGCCCAAAAGTTAGGACTGCGAGGCAGCCAGGGGGTCGGTGACTCGACCTTCCTAAGATACACAGTCGCGCCTACTTCTGCTTCTTGTCTCTTGCGTCGTTTTGGATTTTGGTGGGGCTGTTTAGGGAAGTTATTTGGATGCAAAAAAAAAAAAAAAAAAAAATCTTGATTAGCAAGTCGGGGTCTTCCAGGGGCCCGGGAGTCTCAGGGTCCCTAAGGAAACCTAAACAAGCAGATGAAAGCCCAATTCTGGCCCCGCGTGGCTGAAGGAGCAACCGCGGAGCAGGGCGCGCTGTGGCGCGTTTTGATTCTGCCAGGAAGATCCTGAAGGCAGAAAATACAAGCAGCGTCCCCGCAGAATTCTCTGGGCAAGCCGGGGCTCGACTAATGACTAACACAGGGAGCCCCGCGAGGAGCCGCGGGGCCAAAGCGGGCTCTGGCTAAGCAGAGCCAAGACCGAGTCCTCCTTCCGAGAGCCGCGTCTTAAGCCCACTGAGCCCGCTTTAACCTCTGCATGCGTTCTGGGTTCTGCTTAGACCCACGCTCTTGTGTTTTTAAGAACACTGTGCGGTGCGTTGTGGTTTAAATTAGACAAACGGAATTTCTCAATTTCCTATTTAAAAAAAAAAAAAATGAGTACAGGCTTCTCTCGCGCTTTTTGTACGAGGCGGAATCGCCTTTACTTTCCTCTCCCCAGGCCGCAACTTCTCAATGTTTGCAAAGGAGATCCCGCCCCACCACCCTTAAAAAGAAGAAAATTGATAAACGGACACTGAGACGTTGCTCATTATAATGAAATGTGAGAAAGAACTGACTCAGATCGGGGAATTGCAACCCCTCAGAGAACGCGCTTTAGACGAACTAGCTCTACGGAAACAAGAATGTGCGAGAAAGAATAAGGCAGCTGGGTGTGAACTCTGCTGTTGCAGAAGGAGGGTGAGGCCCCAGGGCTGAATTGACCCGTGTGCTCATTCGGTCTGGCGCGGGGCTGGTGAGCCCTCCCCATGAAGTGTACCCGTTGTGATGATCGGGAAGAATTGTGCGAAGCACCTTCAGCTAGCTATTGGAACTCAGACTCCCCAGACCCTAAATGGAAAATGATGAAGATGGTGCCAAATGCACTTAAAACATCCCCAAGAACAATAAATACCCTCCTAGGCTTTAGGAACTCTGGTAGCGTAGTGACTGAGGCATTTGACTGCTAACCAGAAGGCTGGCGGTTCAAACACACCAGCCACTCCTCAGAAGGAAGATGGGGCAATCTACTTCCGTAGTGATACTGCCTCAGAAACCCAAGGAGGGGTCGCTATGAGTCGGTCCTACTCCACCGCAAATAACAACAGCAACAAGGCTTCGCTTAGACCCATTCCCGAAGCTTCTTTTATTCGGCCTGCTTTGTGACTATGGTGGACTTGAAGCTGGTTCTTTGCCTAGCTTCGCATTTTATGTTAGCCTAGGTATATTTATTATTGAAAGCAGGTCAGGTCAGCAGTGAGATGGCTTGTTTCTGCTTACACTGGATAAAAAATAAAATAAAATAAAAATCATTTTCCTAAAACGAAATGGATAAACAAAAAAATAGATTAATGTTTTCCTCGTGATTTACAAAATAGTGGACTTCCAGGCTTCAGTGATTAGTTTCAGAGACATCAGAGAAACAGACAGTAGGAAACAAATGTGCAAACTTCACTGTAATTAAATAAAGGGAAAAGGGAAATTGAGCATCACAAACGAAGATCTGAGATTCTTTCTACCCTGATATGCAGGGATTCAAATACTGCATTATTACATACCTTTTCAGCTAGAAATATTTTCAATGTATCACTTGCATGAGAAAGATAAACTAAAGTCGACTTACAGGAAGCAGTAGGTTCTCTGAGCACCAGAGCAGTGAGTGTTCTGTCATTCTTATGTGTATGTCCTAGTAACTGCACAATTTGGGATTCTGTTTCTTGCTGTTATGTTCCCATTCTTTCCCTCAATTTCCACTTTCATGAGAGGATCTGTGCAACCAGAGCTATCTCATTTCATTGCATCAACATAAAAGCCACAGAAGGTGCCAGGTACTGATCGAAATC